TGTAGAGATATCACAGCCATGTATCTTCTCGAACTGTGTGTTAAGTGTCCAAACTAGGTTTGAAACAGTGGTATCAAGAGCTGAAACAAATGTCTAAAAGGCTAATGCCTGGTAACCAAATATTTTGTGTTCCAGGCTCGGGAACGTGCTTGGAGAATAGGCCAAAAGAAACACGTGACTGTGTACAGGCTTCTCACTGCAGGTACTATTGAAGAGAAGATATACCACAGGTCAGTCAGAACAATTCCCTGGATACAGCTATATGCTCAAGAAAATGTTTGTAGTGAATCTGAGGTGGTGTAACAGTGACATACCTGTGCATGTGCACATATGGCTGGTAAAATCCAACCTTGATCATGACAGTTATTTCATGGAAAACTTTTATAACATTAGACTCCTAGCTGCAGGGCTGTGCTGCTGCCTCTCTAGCTCCAAGACCCACGTGCTAAATATACCTCATCAATCTGTTCCAGCAGCTTTGTCTAGCACATAAAGAATTCACTGTGTATGAGAGTGTGTGAGGCATAGGCAGGAAAAAATGAACCCCTTACTCAGAACATGAGACTCGTCAAGTCTGAAGTGTAAATTGAAATCAACAAGTTCTTTATATTGTTCTTAGGATATGTATAGATGTATGTGGTACATGCATCCATTTACTACTTTGCAAACTCAATTTGATTTTATTCCCGAATCATTCCAAAAAGAGAATTAAATCCCAAGAACACCAGTCATATTCACATTATTTATTCCAAAATGTAGCTAAAGCCTTAAAGTGCTTGTATTTTGAAATCAATGAAACCTTTTTAGTTTGCTTTCCTGTTCAGCTTTCTCAGTAGTTAGCTTCACTCACATGAATTCCAAATGAATGTAGATGGGAATCCTCTGACTAGGCATTACTCTTTAGAACTGGAATATCTTCTTTAAAAATGAAGATGAATGAAAAGCTCTAAATAATGAAATACCTGCACTTATTGAGTGCCTTCTTTAATCTGCTTTACCACACGGACACAAAGCATCCGCTGTTGGTTGGCTTGTGTCCCTCTGGCATAATTCTGCTTGAACAGCACTGACCACATCAAGGAAGTGGGCTCTAAGGGTCAGGACAGCCATCAGAAATTCATTTCTTTCCAGAACAGTACAGTGGGCCTTGAACTTTAAGCAAGTTGTCTTTCCTCTTTACCCATGCTCTCTTCTCTGCAAATATCTCATCCCTGCACAAAACTATGAAGCTCAGTTAATTCTTGAAAATGTAAAGTCTTCTGATATGTGCACTGCAGTAAATGGCACCTATGTTTAAACTTGTTTTTTACCAGTTGTATTTAAAAATAGTTTCCCTGCTTAATGCCAGCAGAGCTAAAACTGTGATTAAAACCCTTCTTGAGAACTGGTTTCTAGCTTTATTTAGAGATGTGTCTTTTGTACAGGAAAACAGTGCCTAGAACTTGCAATCAAATGCTATGAGGTACAAACATGGCATAGAAGTAGATTTACCAGTACTAGAAGACTTTTTGCAGCTTAGTTCTCCCCTAGATTTGTTCCTTTCTGGAAGGAAAGAGACAGGCTCTTTCTCGCCCTCCTCTCAACCACAACTAGTATTTCCCTTTTCAGTGGTTGTCATCCAGTCATCACCATCAGACTGAGCTACTCTTCAGCTTTTGATTCCTCCAGCCAATTGAACGATTAAAATGTTGACATTTTAGCAAGCTCTTGTTTTGCTTTCAGGAGCTTTCTGATAGTCTTACTGTAATATGTGCAAGCTTTTCCATTTTAATGGGCACAAAAAAAATCTAGCTGTAAAGTTATTTATTGCTTAGTTAAGGGATGCTTCATAGGACATTTCAGGATGGTGGTTACCTGTTGTGTTACGGGGTTGTTTCAAAACAATAAATCCCTGTGTTTAACAATTTAGTTGGTTGTTTGAAAGTTACTAACTCAAGATTGTCTTCTGGAAGCTAACATCATCTTCCCACTGCTTAATTGTTCTACAGGGTAACATTTGTGTTTACACAGTTTTCTGTTTAAGTACTGTGTTACGTACTTAAATATAGCTAGACATTTTTTCATGCAAAAGTACCTTTTTTCTTTTTTAGACAAATCTTCAAACAGTTTTTAACAAACCGAGTGCTGAAGGACCCTAAGCAGAGGCGCTTTTTCAAATCCAATGACCTTTATGAACTTTTTACTCTGAGCAGCCCAGATGTGTCTCAGGGGACAGAAACAAGCGCAATTTTTGCAGGTACATGCTTTTTTTCTGTTTGCTTAAAAGATAAAAATGTTTGAAGTGTTTGATAAACGGATACTAATTCATCCCTCAGGTACTGGATCAGATGTTCAAGTCCCAAAACACCACTTGAAACGGAAGCTTGAAAAGCCACCTGATAACGATGCTTCTAAAGGTGATCTTCATCTTACAGAAGGCAGTTCACCAAAGTGCACCAAGTTATCCAATTCCTACTCAACCACCCACGTGACGAGTTCTTCTTCTAAAGCAATAGAGACAAGTGAGGAAACCAAAGGAAATTTGGAAGCCTTTGAGCAAAATAGCTATGCAAAAGATAATGCACAAGCTGCTACTAATATAAATTCACTGAATAAAAGCAAGGAGGAAGGCTTGGAAAGAGCTGACAAATCTACACCTCACTTACTGCCAGGTGATGCAGGGTCTTCAGAGAATACCAACTGTCTGGACCCCATGGTGGCTGGTGAAATACCTGGAGCAGCTAATGTAAATGGCAAGGGAGATTTTAGCCTTATGTGTGATGCAGCTGGCTCTTGGAAAAAACAGGTTGCTAAAACTGAAGATGGGCAATTAGGTAATAATCATTTTAAGTGTACCTCAAAAACAAAGCACAGGGTAGATATGCTGTCACATGACAGCCACAAAGGTAAGTCTAAGAAGAAAAGGCACAAAGATGCCAAATTTGAAGGAGAGCGAATTCCTCATCTAGTGAAACAAAAGCAATACAGAAGGGAGAACAATGAAGAGAAGGAGGAAGACTCAAAGAAAAATGATGATTACGTCTTGGAGAAACTTTTCAAAAAATCAGGTAACTGTTACTTGGCTGCTCAACAGTATCAGACTATTCAAAAAGAGGTATATAAAACTTGCAAGCTAAGGATGTTCGGCTGGAGTTATAACACAAAATGTGTTTTTTCTATTCTGTTACTGTAGTGAAACATTAAAATGTTCATCACTGAAATGCTGTAGTTAGGAATGTGTTAATTACCTTGGCACAAACACTTCAGATCTGCAGCCTTCCAGAAATGCTTCTATATGTAGAAGTAGTGCAGTGTTTCTTCTGGAAATAAGGATGTAACAAACTTTCATTTACGCAAGGGTTTCACTTCTGTCTGTCCTGTCCATAACAATAGAAATGATCGATTTACCCACATAATTGCCAAGTCTGTTTTGAATAATGACCTCATCTGCACACCAGAGAAGTGGTTTGCTGTCAAATTGATTGCTTAACTGATACAGAAGGAGGTTCCCTTATTAGAAATTACTATACTGAAGTGCTGAATATAATCAATGTGAAAAAGAAAAAATGTGATTGTGGCATTCACTTAAATGGTGAATATTTAATTTTACAGCTAACCATACATATTTACAGATGTCCTCCTTCAGCTTTTCTTGTGCCTTCTGGTTTTTAGGGGTACACAGTGTTATGAAGCATGATGCCATTATGGAAGCTTCCAGTGCAGATCATGTGCTGGTGGAAGCAGAAGCAAGCAGAGTAGCGCAGGATGCTTTAAGAGCCTTAAAAGTCTCTCGACAGCGATGTTTAGGAGCTGCTTCTGGTGTGCCGACATGGACAGGCATGAGTGGTCTTTCAGGTGCACCGGCAGGAATAAAGTAAGTTCAGTTCTCATGCTGCTTTTCAAAAAAAAGAAGAGTTCCTTAGGATGCTATGGATTTTATTTTTTCCACTTGGTATTTGCAGTAACATGTATCAAAGTGGAGTTTTGTGTTTTATATTTAATAAAGACAGGAAGGCATATTACAAGCCTAGGAAGTCCATTACAAAGTACAAAGAAAGCATTATTGTTGCACAGCAGAGGAGAGAGAGTTTGGCAGAGAGCTCTTGAGAACCCTAAAATGCAAACCCAATCAGTGTCTTTGGCAAAACTATCCTAATCATTTTGAGAAAGATCTTTTATGGAGTTAATTATTTTGTGATTTTTATTTTTTTTTTTTTAGGAGTCGGTTTGGTCAAAAAAGAAACTCCATGCTGCTTTCTTCACATTCCACTTGTGCACCGCCTGCGAAGAAGTGCAAGGTATGAGACACAGGCTGACATTTCTCTTTTAATAGCTGATATATGTGAAATAATCTGATTTATGCAGCAACCTGATTTATACTGTAGATCTCATACCCATTTGCTATGTGATTATGTAGAGTTTTAGAATATTTAGTCACCCATGAATTTAATTTTTCATGTTTTGATATAGCATCTTGATGAAATCCTATTAGATACACAGCAGTCACAAACTGCAGCATGGTCTGGTTATCTATCTCAAGACCAGCAGTGCTTTTCTTTCACTTCCTAAGTTCTAAAGTTGAGACAAGAACATATTGCCTCTTTATTGTGTATTTCAGGTGACTAGCTTCTGACTGTTCATGTTTGTTGTTTAAGTCTACACAGCAGGTAGCTTTTGTTTAACAGATTTGGTAGGTTACAAAATCCAACTTTCTCCATAGTCTGTATGTTTATTTGCAGGATGCAGACACAATAAAGAAAGAAAATGTAAAGAAATGTAGTTCCAATGGGTACTTTGATGGAAAATCTGGAGAATCGTCGTCCAGCGCACTAGACTCTTCATCTTTATTAGCAAAGATGAGGGCAAGAAACCACCTTATTTTACCACAAGAGACGAGGAGTGAGGGAGATGAGAATTATCAGCAAGCATCTGCCCCAGCCACATGTTCAACAGAATACGATGGACTGCTCGTGGACGTGCGTAACTTCATAGCGTTCCAGGCCCGCGTGGACGGCGAGGCTAGCACTCAGGAAATACTGCGCCAGTTTGAGTCCAAACTGCCTGCGGCACAGTCCTGCGTCTTCAGAGAACTTCTCCGCAATCTCTGCACCTTCCATAGGAACCCAAACGGTGAAGGAGTCTGGAGACTAAAGCCAGAATTCCGATGACTTTTGTCAAGGAAAGGCACTCAGCCACCACTCTTCTTTCAGAGAATTACTGTTTGTCTATAAAATTAAGGAATTATTTCATATTCATGATTTAAGGATTGACTGTAGAATTTGTTGCAGGCTCAGAGATAACTTAGTTTCTGATTTACACTATTTATATGAAAGTGCCATCTACCTCATAAATGAAACAATAGAAAATATCAGCACCTTTTCTTTAAAAGAAATCTTAATATAAATGGGATAAAGAATACTTACTGGCTTCTTACTGCAATAAGAACCATGGATGTTGCTGTGGGTTGCAAGACTTTTATTTGATTTCTGTGAAATCCCAAGAACTTCTTCCTTGATTTTCTGTCTGTTATTTGAATGGTCACGGGGCACGGAGTGTACCATCAAAGGAAAGAAAAAAAAAAGAGATGACAGTGGTCAGCTTGAGAGATTCACTTGTACTGACAAGTGCATCAAAATCATTGTATGAGCCTTTCATGGGTAGTGAGAATCTTGTTTTAATATTGGTGCTTTCATTGTTGCCACCATTTAGCATATGCAGTGTAACTTACATCACTAATTAACTTGGGAAATAATTCTACTGCCACGGAGGTTTAATCACAGCAAATGGAAAGCCTGGCAGGGTATTGAGATGACTGACAGTTGATAATTATGGAAAACTCATTATATTATGGAAAACCCATTTACACCATAATCTGGTTACAGTCCCATACACCACTGGCAATTGCTTGGTAAAATATTTCTTTCCACTGCCAGTGACATTAACTGTTATGTTTGTCACAGGTTGTGGACTGAAATCACATGAAATGTTTATGAGTCTCACTGTAATTTATGTCAGAAACTTCACAGTTCCATGTTAGCACTTAAAATCTTATACCTTAACAAAGGCTGAGGTGTTGGTTGGTCAGAGGGGGTATGGCTTCACTATATTTTACTAAACATAGACACATTTGACAAGAGATGTAATTGGAGCATATACAGAAGTTGCAGGTTATACCTATTCTGTAGATAAGGAAGATCTCAGTTTTCCTGACAGTAAGGCAAGTTCCTTCCGATGAAGGAAGGATTGGATTATTTGTAGCAAACCTGAGTACTACACTGGGTCTGTCTTCAAGGTACCAGTATGCTATGTAAGGAAATCTTAAAGGGGAAAAGAAGGGATAGATTTTAACAAGAAAACCACATTATTGCAGCAACATTAAATTACGGTATGGCTTAAAAACTAGGAATAGTTAAATATGCCTAATGTCTTCCCTATTCCTAAACTGTTGAGAAAAAGGAAGGCTGAGCTATTTTGGTTTTGTTCACTGTGAAAGTATCTTGTTTATTTCAAGTGAAAGTACAAATATTGCAAGATGAATGGTGAAGCAAGAATACAAACTGTTAGTTTGTTCTCAAAGAAAAAAAGTCTTTAAAATAACTTCCAGTGGCTTTTCCTCTGGTTTTTGCTCAGTGCTAAAGGATCAGTAGAGATTTGCAAAAAGTGGTGCGTCACTGTTTCAATAACTGTTCAGTTGGCTTTTCACAAACTGCAGTTGGAGTGGGCAGACAGTCCAAGACTGTTTCTTTTCCTCATGGCATTTGAAGGTGGGGCTTTTGCACCTTTTCCTGACATCCCTTTTTTTCCTGATCCCACTTATATTTCTTTACATTCCATCTTTCAGGAGAAAGATGATACCAAGACTGTAAGGTTGACCTAAATCATAGGTCTGTTGATACGACTTAAAATGGATCAGTAAAACAAATCGATTTTGCTGTTCTTTCCAAAGCTATAGGGATTTCTGATTGGTTTTAGATGTCATGCCCCCCACCCCACCCCGCCACATCCCTGTGCCCCAGGAACAAACCAGGAATTCAGCTGTCAGCAAAGCTGCTTTTGTCACCTTAGCTGTCAGTTCTGGTGTCCTGTTTTATCTACTGCTTCCAGTCTTAAAGACACAGTTCCTGTACTAAGGAAAGTTTGCAGCTTATCTGTTATGTTAATGTAAATGGACTTGCATGTGCTTTTTACAAACCCTGGGCTTTTTATGGACTTATTAAAAAAGTCAAACAAAAAGTCTGTTCTGGAAGTCATCTTTGGGGGTGGAGGGATGAATGGGGTTGGGGAGACATCTTTTCTTGTGTAGCTTGGCTCTGACCAGGTGATTGATGTTGTCTTTAAGTACATTCTCATTTTTCATACAACTTCAAATTATGCAGTAACGAGTAGTGTGGAAAGCAGTAATGCGTGGTGTCCCTCAGGGATCGGTGCTGGGACCTGTCCTGTTCAACATCTTTGTCAGTGACATGGACAGTGGGATTGATGCACCCTCAGCAAGTTTGCCGACTACAACAAGCTGTGTGGCTTGGTTGATACGCTGGAGGGAAGGGATGCCATCCAGAGGGACCTGGACACGCTTGTGAGGTGGGCCGATGACAACCTCATGAAGTTTAATCAAGCAAAGTGGAAGGTCCTACACCTGGGTCGGCACAACCCCAGGCACAGCTAGAAGTTCAGCAGCAAAGAGATTCAAAGCAGCCCTGTGGAGAAGGACTTGGGGGTGGTGGTTGATGAGAAACTCGACATGAGCTGGCTTCTGTGTGCTCTTGCAGCCCAGAAACCAACCGTATCCTAGACTGCATCAAAAGCAGTGTG